ATCTGCGAGGATAGCAGCCCACTGACAGCTAAGCAGGCGACCCACTGGCTTTTGCTCAGCATTTTCCAGGCAGCCCACTGGTGGTAAAGCAGAGTGTGACAGCATCGCTCATTTTCCACTAACAGTTCAATTTACTTCAATTTACTTTCTTTCTTTCATTATCCTTCATTATGTAAATTAATTTAGTAAATCATTTTAATTTAGCACAGTGTCAGCAACAACATTTTCAACAATATAATTTTATATTTGGCCTAATCATTATGTATTTTCCTGTGTAATATTTGTCATAGTTTATTTTCAAAATAAAAGGCTATTCATGTTTTTAAAATCTGTTTGAGATTAAAAATCTTAGAGCTTAAATGCAGGAGAGTGAGCTGGATCAGCGGGATGCCGCCTTATCAAGCCAGCTGACACCGATATATGCTTGCTATCTGGCATAATGTGAAATGCCTAAAGTACGAAATACTTTTAAGTGATAGTAATGCTACTAATTAGCATTACACTAACTAATGGACAAAATTCTGGCTTTAACATGCTTTTGCTACTGTTTTCAGCTTTACACTGTAGAAAATGGCTCATCAATTCAACCGAAAAAAATACTTCATGTGGTAACAAGTAAATTAACTTTTATTTAACCTTAATAAATACTTTGAATGAACAATTATTTCAACCAGTTGAATAAAATTTCAATGAGTTTCAATGCGTTAAATAAAACTGTTGTTTGTTACTACATGAAGTAAGTTTTTTGGGTTGATCTGACGAGCCAGTTTTTTTTACAGTGTACGCTAATGTACTTTAGTCCATCTTTATAGATAACAGTGTATCAAACAGTGTCAGAAACCACAAAATCAAGTCTGTTAGAGATACTGAACAACTCCACGCAGTTTAAGATGATTCAGTATGCAGTTAGCACCAGGCTAATTAGTAGGGTATAAGCTAACAATACTTGTTAGCTACATTGGCAATGTAGCTCCGGAAAGACAACAAACATGTCTTTCTGACAACACAAACTAAAGCATAATTACAGATGCTCATTATCATGGATCTACTACAATCACCAGGGTAGCACATCATTTACAACAGAAATATCATCCAGACTCGGTAAAACTCATGATAATATCAAAACTATATATCACTGCAAAGTTAAACTTAAAGGAATTCCACGAAATGTTCAAAATTTCTGCTTAATTAAGTGTGTGAGATGTAAACAGAGTGATTCAGACAGGTTTGGTGTGAAATGGTTCAGATTTCTATACAGTGGTGGTGATAGGAACCAGGGGTTGCCATGACTACAACACAAATATAGACATTTTATTTACTATTCAAAACCAGTGAGCCTACACGTGTCTTCTGAGTTTTATATGGAATGTTGATGATGGGAAAATAGTGGAAAATCTGAAATAATAAGTTTTCTTTGGGGACTATTTTGCCTCAAAACACCCTGTATATTATGTATCCCTCCACCATGAATGGATTTTAAGGCCAAATTCTTTTCAAAACTATCGTAAAACAATGTCTTAGACATCAAGCAATGTATTCATAACCATTTAATGTAATAACTTTCTGGGAGGGAGCTTTTAGAAGTGGACGTCTGGTTCCTATCACCACCACTGTGAACAATTCTGACTTGGTAAGTTGCTCTAGAACAGAGCATTTCACACCAAACCACTCTGAATGAATCCATTTACATATTAGCTATTTTATTATGCATAAATTTTGAAAATTGGTGGACTTCCCCTTTAACTGAAATGAAATGCAGCGCAGCTGTGTGATATGGTTTAAAGCAGTCTGGTCATTATGCACAAATACGCAGCTCACATGCAAAACTATGAAAAACTGATGACAACAATGTACAGTAGCCCATGGCACAAAATAATCCAATAAAGAGATTCTCTATACTATTAATAGTCTTTATAAAGCAAAATGCAAAGCAAAAACCCTAAAACATACTTATAAATCAGCATGTTTAATTATAGACAGCAAAATAACATGGTATATATTGGTTTATATGAGATCCCAGATATTAAAGTAACTTAAAATGGCAAATAATAAAGACTTCAGTCCTGATAAAGCAACATTTAAAGTAAAACTACTTACGGATACATACGGATAAGCATGTTTGTTCATAGAAAGGTGCAGGAGAAATATTTTTTACCTTTAATTAGACTAAAGCTAATCTCAGACCTTCTCATAAAAGGACATTTTAAAGGAATAAAACTTCATATGTACTAATGAATCAGCATCTGTGACTACAGACAGGTGTAACATTAATATAAACTAGTTTCAACTGGACTAAATGAACCTATGGAGATTACAATAGCTGATAATTGCAAATTATAATATATATAGACCTTATAAAGCAAATTTGAATGCAAAACAATTACTTTAAGACATGTTCACTCGTAGAAAAATGTATCAGCAATATTAGACAATTTTAACAAGCAGAAAGAATCTAATAATTTCAAAAATTAAAACATTGATCATGCTCTGTTTTAAAGCAGTAAAACCTAAAAATGCACTTATGAATCAGGGTGTTTATTCATAGACAGGCGTATTAGCAATTTAACATGCTTTAAACTGGACCATGTGAGATTTTAGAAATTAGAGTAGATTATATCAAAATATAATGCATATCATCCTTATCAACCACAAAAAAACTTAAATGTATGTATATGTTTATTTGTAGAGAGGTGCAATAGGAACATAACTCCAGAGGCTATTTAAAAACACCACAATATCTATGGAACACTATTTAAAAGCAATAAAACCTCAAAATGAATCAGCATGTTTACTCATATAGAGGTTTATGAGCAATATAACCCAGTTTACATTGGACTACATGAGATTGGAAAAGATGATAATGTCAACATATGATGCATATCATTCTTATCAAGCACAACCTGAACCATAAACGTACTTACATGCTTATAAGCGTGCTTACTCATAGAAAGTGTAATAGCAGTACAACTTAGGTCTAACTGGACTGGAGAGAATCTTATTCTGTAAAATTATACTGTTTATGGTACTCAAGCAAAATAAATAAATAAATATATAAATAAACAAATAAAAGCTTACTTGTTCATAGACAGGTTGTGTAGCAATATGAGTTTTATTTATAATGTATGAGATTTCAAAGATTTGAGAAGATGAGTAATGGTATATAATATGTTTATAGTCCTTATAAAGCACATCTAAACCAAAAATATACTAAAGCAGTCATGATTAACCATGCTCACAGAAGGGTGTAATAGCAATAAAACTCTGACAATAATCTGACAATTCAGAAAACATGTTTTGTGCTATTTAAAGTGAAATCTTAAAGCAATAAAATGTATATATATATATATATATTTTTTTTTAAAGTAATATGTATCATTTTTTCAATTCAAGGTGCTTTATTGGCATGACAAATATGATACATTTGTATTGCCAAAGCTTGCCAGAGATTTATAAACAGAAATCAATGATATATATGTGTATATATATATATATATATATGTGTGTGTGTGTGTGTGTGTGTATGTATCCTTAGGCACCCCTAAGGATACGTACACATATGGTAACATATCTACCTCTATCTCTATCTAACTCATGCGTTCATTTCTAGAAGGATTGATTACTGTACTGGTCTCCTAACTGGACAATCAAACAGCTTCAGCTGATTCAGAATGCAGCTGCCAGAGTCTCACTTGGAGTAAAAGCAGGAACACATCACCCCCCATTCTTAAATCCTTACACTGGACACCAGTCTGTTCCAGAATAGACTTTAAGGTGCTGTTACTGCTCTATAAATGTCTTAATGGTGCAGGAGCAGAATATTTATCTGATCTGCTGCAGCAAAATGAGCCAAGCAGAACTCTCAGATCATTAGGAACTAGTCAGTTAGTCCTGCCGAAGGTGAAGACTAAACATGGAGAAGAAGCGTTTAGCTACTATGCTGCTCTTAAATGGAACCAGTGGACAGAGAGCATTAGAAGAGCCCCGACACTGGACACCTTAAAATCAGCCTGAAAATGTTCCTGTTTGAGTAGCTTTCAGCTCAGTTTAAACACTGTTAGCTCTACTACACTTCTCTCTTCTAAAGACACTCTATTATCCTCATTACATTTTTAATTAGATTTTTAATGTTTAATTTCTTCTCTTTTGAGTCTATTGTTTTAATCATGTTTTTTTAAGGGTATTTCTATTTTCCCACATCATTTTAAATTTCAATATGAATTATCTTTATATTTTCTCAATTGTAAAGTACTTTTTTTAATGACCGCAGTGTATGAAAGGTGCCAAATATATGACCTTACTTTGCCTTGCTATTTTATTTGCTGAGTTTTATATATTGGGGTAATAAACACACACACATACACACACACATACATAAAATTATAACAGTTATTATATAACATTTCAAAAGCAATACAACCTAATACGTCCTTATTAGTAAGTGTGTTTTTATTTATAGAGACACTGAGATTTTGTAGATCAGAATGTCACAGTATGAAGTTTATCGTCCCTACAAAGCAAAATTTGAAGCACTGAAAACTAAAACGTAGGTGACAGCAATACAACACCGTTCTAATCAGACGGTATTAGACTGAGATTTCATTAGTTCATAATAACAAATTATAATGTTCGCAGTCATAATAAAGCAAAAGCTGGCAACCGATGTTATGATACACAAGGGTCAAGGCCTCTCTCACACTCTCTTTCTCTGTGTCTCTCTATGCTATGTCTCTCTCTCACTTTTCTATTTCAGCCTTGTCTTTTAATTCTGATCCCTCCTGTACACACTTAGTGTGTGTGTGTGTGTGCATGTCACCTTTATGCTTAACACACACACAAACACACACACACACATACACACACACACACTCTCCCAGTAACCCACATGCACCATCGCACACAAACACACACACACACACACACACACACACACACACACACACACACTGTCTACGGGGCTTTTATAGTTTCGGACACACACACACACACACTTGGTGTCCTACCTCTCTCTGTGCGTGGTTGTGGTCAGAAACACTCTGAGTGACCATTGGAGCGTCCAGCAGTGATAAAGCTGATAGAAACATCCAAGTCAGAATGTGTGCAGTTACATTCTCTCTCTCTCTCGCTCTCTCTCTTTCTCTATCTCTCGCTCTACCTACTCTCCTTCCCCTGCTTATTCACTGACAGCATTTCTCTCTCTCTGTTTTACGCTCTCTCTCTCTCTCTCTCTCTCTCTCTCTCTCTCTCTCAAGCATGAAAGCTTGGTCACCCTCTGCTGTTGATCATAGACACTTCTCTCTCTCTCTCTCTCTCTCTCTCACTCTCTCTCGTTCTACCTACTCTTTTTCCCCTGTCCTACTCACTGACAGCATTTCTCTCTCTGTTCTACTCTCTCCCTCTCTATCTCTGTCTCTCTCTCTCTCACCTCTCTAGCCTGAAAGCTCGGTCACCCTCTGCTGTTAATCATAGACACTTTCTTTCTTTCAGACTCTCTCTCTCTCACTCCCACTTTCTCTCTTTTTCTCTCTCTCTTCAGCTTTTCTCGCCCTCTGTGACCCCTCCTATATCTCTATCTTTTTTTCCCCCTCTCTGTCTCCTTCCTCTGTCTCTCTCTCTTTCTCTCTCTCTCTCTCTCTCTCTCTCTCTCTCTCTCTCTGGGTACAGTATATAATTAGACCTGTCGTGATACAGCTCAGTCTCATTGTGGAAGAAGAGAAGCCGTAGTTGGCAGGAAGCCAGCAGCTTTGCTCATTAACCTCTCAGCAGCCGAGGAATGCCTGCACCTGATTGGTCTAGCTGCCCCATGTCCCGGCCATGCTTCCTTCCTATTGGCTGCTGCTGTACATGCACCAGCCATGGGCTCATCCCATTGGATGAAAGGACCCCGTGCATTTAGACACATGTTTTATCATTGGCTCAGTGTTACTGATGCCCTGCTTAACCCTCATGTTCTGTTACCTTCATTTCCTCGTTATTTTGGGGTCCTAGAGACCCTAATCCTGTATGTGGGAATAAAAAATAAAGAAATAAACAATAGCAATAACAGAAAAAAATAGATATGACAATAGAAGAAAGATGAAGAAACACTAAATGATAAAATATCTCATGGATTATTTATTGCTTTTGTATTTCTGAGATGTGGCATCAAGTCAAAAACATGTTTAGAAGTAGTTATTATTATTATTATTATTATTAGTAGTAGTAGTAGTAGTAGTAGTAGCAGTAATAGTAGTAGTAGTAGTAGTAGTAGCAGTAATAGTAGTAGTAGTAGTAGTTAAAGTAATCTTAATAATTCTTGTTATTTATTATTATCATTGTGTACATAGAATTGTATAATAAGTATTTTTAACGATTCTAATAACATTATATTTTTTTGACCTATATAAAACCCATGACAAAATACTGCATGGATTACTGGTCATATGGGTTTTGGTGTAATTTTCAGGACTCATATACATATTTGTACCCTGCTAAAACAACATTGTGTGTTTGCGGTGAGAATGTGTGTATGCTGTGCTGTGTTGTTGGTGAACAGTGAACAGCAGGCCGCAGCACTCTGTATGAATGGGACACGCATTAGATTATGTTTTACACACTATTTGTGTCAAAGCGCTTTACTGGTTTAGCTCCTGAGCACAGCTTTACAGACTGTTAGGTAACAGAACATGAGCTTTAGGCAATTAGCCTTACAAACAGCAGCCAGGGTGTAACACGATTCTCTAGAGGTCAAAGGTGAAAATTATTAAGAGGATATTTTACATTGTAGTGATTATATGATATAATGTTATAATTAGTCTGTTAGTGACATAATCTGTATTCTGTTGGGTGTGTTTTTTATATGTTAAGTGTAAGTAAAGTTGGAGATAATCTATTCTAATGTTCTTATACATTCTTCTTGTCCACTGTGATGTAAGTTGAGATATCAGGGCCGAGAATGACGGGAACTCAGATTTTAATTCCTCATATTCATCATCTCAACGACCACAATAAGGGTGCTGGGTCTACTCAGATTTATTGCCACCTGTGGTGCCCATTAATCCGGGAAATATGTTCACTGTGCATCTTTATTTATAAAGAATGTTTCATACTAATAGCAGACCAAAGTGCTTTACAGACTTAAACACCAAAGAGTTGTAGAGTTTAAATGTATATGTACCTTTCAGTCTATCTATCTATCTATCTATCTATCTATCTATCTATCTATCTATCTATCTATCTATCTATCTATCTGTCTGTCTGTCTGTCTGTCTGTCTGTCACAGGAAAAGACTAAACAACAGCTACCAAACAGAATAGCTAAGCTGAACTAACTCAGACGGACTTTGACACTTAATTATCATTTCATATCGACTGCAGACCCCAGTATTAAACCCAGTCGCATCAATTAGCATCACCACAAACTATCCATCTACACTGGGCAAAAGCATTGGGACATCCCTCCTAATTATTGAAGTCAGGTGTTTCAGCCATGCCCATTGCTAACAGAAGCTTATAACCTTGCAGTCTCGATAGACAAACACTGGTAGTATTATGGGTCGTACTAAAGAGCTCAGTGACTTTAAACATAGCACTGTCATAGGATGCCACCTCTGCAGTCAGTTTGTGAAATTTCTGTCCTGCTAGACCTGCCCCAGACAACTGGTGGTGCTATTATTGTAAAATGGAAGCATCTAGAAGCAACGACAGCTCAGCCACAAAGCGGTAGACCATGCAAACAGAGTGGGACTGCCGAGTGCTGAAACGCATAGTGTCTATCCTCTGTTGGATCACTCACTAAAGAGTTCTAATTGCCGCAACTGGACTCTGGAGCAGTGGAAACATATTCTGTGGAGTGACGAATCATGCTTCTTTATCTGGCACTCTGATGGACGAGTCTGGGTTTCTCCTCTTTCCTCAACCCTCCTCCTCCCCTTCCACCCTCTTCTCTCACCCCTGAGGATTTTGTTACCTTCTTTGAGGAGAAGGTTGATAGAATCTGCCAGTCTTTTCCCTCTGTCTCCACTTCTTCCACTAGACCTCGTCCTCTTGTTCTCAACCCATTAAACTGTTTTTCTTCTCTTTCCACAGATGATGTCCTACAACTGACCAAATCCAGTAATCCAACCACCTGCCCACTGGATCCCATCCCTTCCACGTTGCTCCAGTCAATCTCCATGGATCTACTGCCCTTTTTTTCCTCAGTTCACTCATGTCACTCCACTGCTGCACTCCCTTCACTGGCTTCCTGTAGCTGCACGCATCTGATTTAAAGTCAAATATGGACCAGCCCCTTCCTACCTGATGGCAATGGTCAAAACTCGAACTGTACCTTGAGCCCTTCGAGCTTCAAGTACAGCTCGACTTGACCCGCCATCCTTCAAGATGCGTGGAAGACAAGCATCAAGACTTTTCTCTGTACTGGCACCCACATGGTGGAACAAACTCCCACTGGCTGTCCGAACAGCCAAGTCTCTTGTGGTCTTCAAACACAGACTCAAGACACATCTCTTTATACAGCACTAGTGAGCACTGAGTTAAGTATTTATTGCAACACATTGTACTGCACTTACTGAAATGTATTGTATTGCACTGCACTGTGTTTAACTCTGTTTCTTCTCTCTAGGTATCAACATGGACCTTTGTTTCTAGCAGTATCTGAGCTCAGGACGAGCTTTCTCTCTAACCTATTTTAACTAGCTAAGATACTTTCTCTAGATAGACAAAGCACTTTTTGTAAGTTGCTCTGGATAAGAGCGTCTGCTAAATGCTGTAAATGTAAATGGGTTTGGCGAATGCCAGGAGAATGTTACCTGCCTGACTGCATTGTGCCAACTGTAAATTTTGGTGGAGGAGGGATAATGCTATGGGGTTATTTTTCAGGGGTTGGTCTAGGCCCCTTAGTTCCAGTGAAGGGAAATCTTAATGCTTCAGCAGACCAAGACATTTTGGACAATTGTATACTTCCAACTTTGTAGGGAACAGTTTGGGGAAGAACCTTTTCTGTTCCAGCATGACTGAGCCCCAGTGCACAAAGCAAGGTCCATAAAGGCATGGCTGGGTGAGTTTGGAGTGGAAGAACTTGACTGGCCCTCACAGAGCCTAAAACAGAGATTGTGAGACAGGCCCTCTCATCCAACATCAGTGTCTGACCTCACAAATGCTCTTCTGGATGAATGGACAAAACTTCCCACAGACACACTCCAAAATCTTGTAGAACGCTTCCCAGAAGAGTGGAAGCTGTTATAGCTGCAAAGGGGGACCAATTCTATATTAATGCCTATGGATTTAGAATAGGATTCATAAAAGCTCCTGTAGGTGTAATGTGTAGGTGTCCCAATACATTTTTTACGGTAATATATGATAATTTAATTCATAGTTATGTTATTAATAGTACAGTAGCTGTGTTGAGTCCAGTTCACTTACTTTATGAAAATCTGAACAAACAGTGAGAGCAGCACGTGCAGGGTGAGAAGTGTGTGACTAGCACATGGTCATACAGTCACATGCTGAAGTGTGTGTGTGTGTGTGTGTGTGTGTGTGTGTGTGTGTGTGTGTGTAGTCTCGTTTCCTCTCCGTCTCTGTCACTCTCACTTCTGTGTCTCACACACACACACATACACTCGAAGGGCTCCAATCTTCAGCCTGTCAGTGTGAGCAGGACTGAGACCGACACAGACTCCCCCCGTTCTCTCTTTCAAAACACAACAAAACAACACAAAGTAAAAGTAACGTTTTCCAAGCAGACAGTAAACCTTGAGACAGCACAGTCACTGTTTTCTCATCTCCACTATTCCCATGATGGCAGTCTCTGCCAAACAGAAATCAATGCCATCCTCACAAGGACTTGCTTTCAGACTTGATTAAGACGCAGAAACACGACAGGGACAAACAAGGCGCTGTAAGTTCAACACTTCTGTTTGGCAGCAATGTCTTTTTCTCCACCGTGTTAGTAATACAGTCCAAATCCACTGAGAATCACCAAGTTTCCATCAGCAGTATAGCTGTGTATCATCAGAATAACAAGTGGATGTTATGTTTTTGAAAAATGAAGCAGAGCAGTTATAGACAGAGAATCAAATTGGACCTAAAACAGAACCCTGAGGTACCTCGGAGGTCACAAGTACCATAGAGAAAAGAGATTCCCAGTCGTAACTGAAAGTCTTGGACAGTTTTTTTTTTTTAAATAAGTGCCATGCAGAGCCTTGCAGACTTGAATGCACAGAAGCAATAGACTAGCAATACATACAAAGTAATGACAGAGAGCATTTTTGAGGGGAGTCCAAAGTCCAGCCCTCTTGACAAATATGGCCCTTGGACAGATTTTAAGTGACCCATGTCTTCACATTACACGTAGCCCACCAGCCAACACATTGCAATTTTTCCTTTCACCTGATGGTGGCAGTAGTACCATATACTTACAGCATGTTGCTCTACACTGTATTAACGGAGTTAGCTAAAGTATGAGAGGCTTTTTTCTGTCTGAACAGACCTGGGAAAATATTACAGAAACTCTGAAATCTGATCTGTTTAGTCTCCATGACGACCTCAGTACAGACTGAGTTTAGGACAGTAGCTATTACAGAATAACAGTTCCTAGCTTCATAATCTTATCATTAACTCCAGATAAGAAAACGGTATTACACAAACATCCTGATTAGACTAAATCTCCTAGCAACGGCAACTGTAACATTATTTCGATTATGTGTT